TCACTTTTCTGTGCCCAGGTTTGCAGAATGACCGGTACCTTCATCTGTTTGCTGCTTTTTATTATTTTGTTTGGATATAAACCCTCAAGTGGTGAAGAGCAGCACTGACTGTCTACCATCCTCCTCTCCCCCATCATGAAACTCGGAAAGGAGGACCAGAGATCGGTTCTCTGTTCTGCTCCCGGGCTCAAAAACAGCTTTCACACTTGACCAAACGTACCGAACTTACAGAGCAAGCGGACCTGGAAAGATCTCTAGTGTGAAAACGCCCACACACACACACACACTAACACACACACACACACTGACGCACTCACTGACGTACACACACGCTCTCACACTCACACACTCGTGCTCGCACACCCACCTTGTGAACATCTGGCTGCCCCCCAGTTCACATCTTTATAAACCCTGATCAATTACAGTCAGAGCTCAGAGCATACACAGCTACTATTACTGAGAGAGAGAGAGAGAGAGAGAGAAGGGGGGGAGAAAGAGAGAAAAAGAGAAGAAAGAGAGAGAAAAGAGCCAGAAGGGGAGGGAAGAGAGAAAAAGAGAAAAGAGAGACAGAATGGGAGAAGGAAGGAGAGAAGAGAGGGACAGAAGGGGGAGAGAGAGAAAAAGAGAGAAGAGAGATAGAAGGGAAGAGAAGAGGGAGAAAAAGAGGCCAAAGAGAGATGGGGGGGGGTGGCGAGAGAAAGAGAGAGAAAAAGAGAAAAGAGAGACAGAAACAGGGAGAGAGAAAAAGGACAGAGGAGAGAGGGTGGGGTGCGAGAGAAAAAGAGAGAGGGAGAGACATCAAATATGTAATATATATCAAATCGTTTTTGTTTCATTAATGTGTATTATTTTATGTTATTAATTATTGTTAATTGCCTTTAATATGCAGATACTTGTTGCAGTGCTTTTGTCATGTCAATAAAGCAAACTCGAACTTGAGAGAGAAAAGAGTGGGAGAGAGAGAGAGAGAGAGAGAGAGAGAGAGAGAGAGAGAGAGAGAGCATTATTAGCTGTGCTGAATAGACTGATCACACAGACATGTGTTTTGTGCCCTGTGTGTGATGCAGAGATCTGATCTGAACTGGAACTGTACTTACAGTGTGTGTGTGTGTGTGTGAGTGTGTGTGTGTGTGTGTGTGTGTGTGTGAGTGTGTGTGTGTGTGTGTGTGTGTGTGTGTGTGAGTGTGTGTGTGTGTGTGTGTGTGCTGATACATAAACAGTACACACTACAAACTCTCTCTCCCTCTCTCTCTCTCTCCCTCTCTCCCTCTCTCCCTCTCTCTGACCTGTAAGCCGGTCCGTGTTCTCCCTAAACATGTGCAGATGTAGAGAGTAAAACTGTCCCGTTAATCCAGCCGTCTTCGCTCCTGCGTGTGTATCTGTTTATATTTATTATTCTATTCCTGCGCGGCTCTCAGGGGCCACAGTTAAACCTCACGGCTCTAAATATCTGCATGTGTGTGTAGAGCCGAGTCTGTAACAGAGCCCTCTTATTCAGGTGAGCGAGTGGATCACAGATGGACTGCAGTGATGCACGAAATTACATTTCATTTGCCGTTTCTTTTGGTCCATTCATCATGAAATTTACACGCAATGTAAAGACCAACAGCCATTTTCAAATTATGTCAAAAACTGAAAAAAATGGAGATGAGATTTGTTCCGACAGCAGCGATATATGTATGATTTAGTACAGTGTCAATGTTTTTTTCTCTATATTGTTAATAAATACATACTTTTTTGTTCATAATTATGAGCACAAATTAAAAGAACGGTGGGTATCTGAACTGGAAGTGTCTGAACGCTTGTTTCACTGCTGTATTTCTTAACCGGCCCCCTCACAACCCCCCCCCAGGAGGAATAAGCTTTTTTAATAGCACTTTATCAAAAGCAGCGTGGGTCTGAAGGAAAGGGGCTCTGCTCCAGCTCACCGTTGGTGCTGAAACAGTGCTAGCAGCGCTAGGCTAACTCTGCCGTTTATTCAGGATTAAAGTAAACCTCCAGCTTTGGAGGTGAAGACGGTGCAGTTGGATCCACATGTGGACCAGTGAGAAGTCCATATATATATATAATTTCCAGTCAAAACATACAACTAAAAATTACTAAAAATTAAATAGATAAATAGATTAAATTTATTAAGAGCGGTCTTGTTGTTCAGTATTGCATGTTATCAGATACATGTGATATTCTGTCATATGTGATATAAATGTATAGTTCAGTTCTACAGTGTTTTATTGCCGTGAATGTTACACGTTACATCATAGATAAATCAACTACCGTCAATATAAACAGGAGGAAAAAGAGAGAGGCAGGAGGCGGAGTCTCTCCATCAGGACACAATAGTGAGTAGCTGTTGTCTGGATGCCAGTTTCATTTGTATAGTCCTTCACTCAGGTCAGCGGTTTTGTCCCAGGAGGACTGGTGTCTGAGGATGGGAAATGGAGGCATGGTTTCATGCTCTTCCTCTTTTCATCGGATCCAGATGTTTCTCTCCGTCTGTAAGGGAGGCAGAAGCTGTGAGGGGGCTGAGTCTGAGGCTGTAGAAGCTGTAGATGCTGTAGATGTTGAGATCTGGGCTTGTCCAGCGCTTTACGGGGCTGTAAATGCTTAAAATTGTCATGTGGAGATAAATCCAGCCAGCGTGAAGAAAGGTGCGATCTTGTCCGCTGTAACAGTTTCTGCATGTGTGCTGGACCGCGATGTGGCCAGCGCACAAAGTATCCCTCCTCCGGGCCCCGGAATAATTTAATAAATATTCGTCCAGATTAAAGAGAGATGGAGGCCGTAACGTACGGAGTCTGAGGCGCTGGTGTTAAGACGTATTAGTTTAAAACTTTGGGGAACACATGAAAAATGATTGGTTCATGTCCTCTGTCAATGGCTGTCTGTGCCGAACGTGCTCGATATCTTTACCATCTGTACGGAGGAAGCCGGAGTGTGATGGGTTCAGCTTCTGGTGGCTCGCCGCCTGAACGTGTACGTAGAAACGCTGGAATCTCTCGAATTCCTCAGCGTGCTGTGTGATGTGACTGAGCGTCTGAGGGCAAATCTGCTGCTACTGTGGATCCGGAAGCTTCCTCGGCGTCTTTCAGCAGCTTCTCGCCTGGCGGGGGGGCCAGGACGCACATACGATACGATGTAATCGCGATACCTGGGCTGTGATTGTTGTGATACTTTAGATTTGTGATATGCTAAGTGTTCATAGATGACTGTTTACTTTAAGTGGGACTGGGCGATACGGCAGAACTAAAATATCACATTTGCACTTTGGACGATATTTAGTTAAGTTGGAAATCTTGGAATACAATGAGTGTGTTTACATGCAGTTAATAATCCAATTATAATCAGATTCTTGCATTTATCTGATTATTCAAATGGTCCTGTAAATAGCACGCTCTGATTTCTTAGATCGCAGTAAGGTCTAGAAATCTGATTAAGAAATCTGATAAAGAGGCTGGATTTTAGCTCAGTAATCAGATGTATGTAAACTCTTACTCTAATTTCTTTCGGATTTCTCGGTCTGCGCATGTGTGAAAACAGACGGTGGTACCGGAAATAAGTGAGCAGCGTCGCCGCAGCTAAACACTTTTAGAGTGACGCTGAAACCAAATACGTTCTCGACAGAATGAAGGATTTAAATATTCTTCATTTTCTAGATGATGTTCATATTTTCAAGTAAAGCTGCGTGTTTAAAAAAACGTTAGATTAACAGAGAGTTTATTGGCTGGTTGTAAAGCAGAAATCTGATTACTGTCTGACTCATGTAGACCCGGAGTTTCCCCATTATCTGATTACTCAAGTGCATGTAAACGCATTGATCGGATTACTGACAAATTCTGATTTTCTTCAGTTATCCTGTAGGTTTACTAAGTGCATGTAAACACACTCACTGACTTTTATTCTACAATACTGCAGTATGTCCAATTAAACTGCATTAGTTATGCTCTTCTAATTAAACATGCAGATGGTCATTGTTCTTTAAGCCATGATGTGCTCAGAAAAGCATATTATAACAATTTAATGACACAATAACGATTGATTGGTATATCAATGATGTCACAATCACCATTCTGGCAGGCAAAATCAAGTTCATTCAGCCGTGCTGTGGCTGTTTGTAATGAGATTAAGCCGAAACTAATCCAGCACTTTTTTGAATCTCATTTTTAAAGCATATTAACTGATACATTTGAGTCCATTGACTTGATTTTATTTGATTTGTTGCTGTAGTGATAATAGATGAAAGCTGAAATCTAATTGGCTGAGATTTCACGCTGCGTCATTTTGTTTGTGTCCCAAACCGCACTCATTAGTGCAGTAGGTGAAGTACAGAAGTGTGTGTTTGGGATGCGGCGTTAGATCAGCCAGTGAGACGTGATTGACAGCTGCTGTGCTGTGCTGCTCGTTAGCTGCTCATTAAACACCTGCTAGTGAAAGTTTGAGGGGTTGTTGATTATGGAGCTGTTATTGAGGTAAATTGATGCATTTACTGGGGTAAATTAATGCATTTATTGAGAAATATTAATGCAGCTATTGAGGTAAATTGATGCATTTATATATATATATATATATATATATATATATATATATATATATATATATATTTATCAGTTGATGCTTTATATATCAGTGTTTGAGCTAAAGTTGACAGAAATGCTTCAAAATAGTTTGGTGAGTGTGAGTAAACACCACATAACATTGTAAATCCTATAGATGCCCCAGCATTGTTACAGCTGTGGTAATTGGACAAACAAAGGCTAATTACAGAGAGGAAGTTTGTTGTGGTTAATGTTAGAACCCTGAGGGAGTCTCTAATGATGATGGCTCTCCACTAACTACTATTGTAAAAGCGAGAGCCGTGGTTAAAGTGGTATCGGAAAGTATTGATTTAATGACTCTAGGCTGGGTCAGTCATTCAGGACGAGCATGTAGATGTTTGCAGCCCACCCTGAACATCGCTGGATTACGGTTCTAACATCTGGTTCCTTTTGCTTCTGTCTCCACAGCTACGGTACCAGCATGGCCTCTCCACACCGGACCTGCGGCAGACTCTGCCGAACCTGAAGAACTTTCTAGAACACGGGCTGCTGGTCAGATGGTGAGTGCTGTGGATCCCACATGCTTTGCTCTGTGTTCTGTTGTTCTTCATTTTTATTTCTTTTTTTATGCATTTCAGTTTCCAGACACCGACCAATGAAATGGTGTCTTAAAAATACGTCTTATAATTTGTATGTAAATATAGGCATCTGTCTGTTTAACTGCCCATCAGACTCACCTCTCTATCTGTCTGTCTGTCTATCTGTCTATCTGACTATCTATCTGTCTATCTGACTATCTATCCATCTATCTGTCTGTCTATCTATCTATCTATCTATCTATCTATCTATCTGTGTCTATCTAGCTGTCTGTCTAGCTGTCTATCTATGTCTGTCTATCTGTCTGTCTATCTATCTGTCTGTCTATCTATCTGTCTATCCATCTGTCTGTCTGTCTATCCATCTGTCTGTCTGTCTGCCTATCTGTCTGTCTGTCTATCTGTCTGTCTATCTGTCTATCTGATGTGTGGAGTCTAGTAACTCATATGTTGCTCTCATAGGTTTATACTGTATTTATTGGTGAAGCTGTTGTGTGAGACTGAAGTCCCTGTAAGATAAATGTACATGTACTGTGCTACAGTAGAGTCAGTAGAGCTGTGTATGAGCTGTGTATGAGGTGTATATGAGGTGTGTATGAGCTGTGTATGAGCTGTATATGAGCTGTGTATGAGCTGTGTATGAGCTGTGTATGAGCCGTGTATGAGGTGTGTATGAGCTATGTATGAGGTGTATATGAGCTGTGTATGAGCTGTGTATGAGCCGTGTATGAGCCGTGTATGAGGTGTATATGAGCCGTGTATGAGCTGTGTATGAGCCGTGTATGAGCTGTGTATGAGGTGTATATGAGCTGTGTATGAGCTGTGTATGAGGTGTATATGAGCCGTGTATGAGCCGTGTATGAGGTGTATATAAAGTTTATTACAGTGAATGTGGGTAATTCCCATGGCTAGGTGTGTAGATGGACAGTCCGAGACCGGCCCGCGACCTTTCCGACAGGGCTTTGATCCGGCCGCTGCGTCAGGGTTCAGCGCTCGTTCTGCATGTTAATTTAATAATCTGTGTTTTGGGAAGGAAGGAGGCCAGGTTAAATAAAGCGGCTCAAACGTCCTCCAAACGTCCTCCAAACCGCTCCTAATGTGGCGGGGAAGTGTTTAAGGAGGAACAGATGAAATGAAGCGCAACCTCTCGACCTCTGCAGCATCCTGCAAGGCAGGAAGTGGAAGTCCAGCAGCTTTCATGGCTACAGGGGCCCACACACATAATTACGTACCTAATGGACACATTTTATAAAGTTTATGAAGGCAACCGACATCATATGTATACAACCCTGTGTTGTCCTGTTACTGTCAGATTATGAAGTCTGCACATGTTGCAGATTCATACTGGGTTAAAGTCACAGGTTTCTCCCAGAAAACTAGTCCAGCTCCAGTGGGGCTTAAGAGAAGTTCTGATATCCATTTCAGGACTTTTATGTATGTGAATTTCCAGCCACCAATCAATAAGATGGTGTCATAAGAACACATCTTAAAATCTGGGCGTCTGTCTGTTTACCTGTTTAACTGTCCCTCAGACCCACCATCTACTAGTCTGTCTTTCTGTCTGTCTGTCTGCCTGTCTGCCTGTAACACATGCTATCTTGGCAAAACATCTTAAATCTATTCAATGAATCTGACATTTTCCGTTAAAAGATTGTTGTAAGAAAATTATGAGATTATTCCAGTTGTTTGTGGATGTTTGTGCTTGTTTAATCAAAATGAAACAATAGAAAGGAAAAATAAACATTCACTAGATAGAATTATTTAAAACAAGTAATAACATGACAATATTCTTATAGAAACAGAATAATGGGAAATATTTAATATATTGCCAATATTTCGGGTCATTTCACTTGGCACCGTTCATCTTTTATTTTCTTTCTTTCTTTTTCTCACTCTGACCGTCGATCTGTCTGCCTATTGAATTTATTTATCTATTTGTCTATCTATCTGTCTGTCTGTCTGTCTGTCTACCTGTCTGTCTACCTGTCTGTCTATCCGTTAGCTCCAACAGGGCTTTAGATAAGTTCTGAAGTCCACATATGTAGGGCTGTATAATATCACTGTTGTCGGAAGAAAACCTCTCCATTTTTGTCGTTTTTCAGTTTTTATCATAATTTGAAAGTGCCTGTTGCTCTTTACATTGTGTGTACATTTCATGATGAATGGACCAAAAGAAACGACCCAAAACGACTTGGGGAAGACGTCTGGTTCCATTGACTTACATTAGGAGTGAAGTATGTTTTTCCTTCTCCTGTAAAGTTACCATATAGGAAGTACAAGGTTTTGTTCCGACAGCAGTGATATGTAATAATGCAAGAAAAGGAAATAATTTTGGTCAGAAAGATGGAGGCCAGTCATCAGATGCTGATTTGATGAAGAGTACAGATAATATTGGGCTTCCTCGACACACTGACATAAAATCAGTACTTACTGTATTAGTGGTATTTGTATTTATTCTAATATTAGTGGTGCTATAAGCAAATAAAACACACTGTCCAGATAAAAAGCTGTTTACTTTTAATTCAGATACCTAAAACCTTTGCAAAGCACTGTAGTTTATCTTGGTAAATGTTTTGCTCCTTTTTGTTTATATTCAAATATCACTATATGAAATACTAAAACACTCCAGCCGTGATGTAAACTCAGACGGCCACACCCCTCCCCAGTAAACAGTTCTGCTTTGGTGCTCACTGTGTAAAAACGTCAGCTGTAAAGAATAAGTTTCCCTTTTTTAAGCCCCTTGTTGAGTTACCGCGAGCCGAACTCGGTGGATTTCGCTCCTGACCGTGTCGGACGGACGTTCTGGGCCGCAGGGGAAGCTCGGCTGAACGCTGAAACGCATTCCTTTCATTTTACGTTAGTTGCAGATTTCTTTTATTGCCCTTCCGTATCGCTCCCCCGCCTCCGTCCTGCGAAAAAGCCTAAATTCAGATTCTGTTTCCAGCACGAGGGGCCAGAGGCATGAAATACTGCGGCATAAAAACCTGCAGCACAGAAACTGCAGGGAGTTAACCTGAACATCGCAGACAAACGGCCTGATATTCTGTCTTTAACCTGAACATCGCAGACAAACGGCCTGATATTCTGTCTTTAACCTGAACATCGCAGACAAACGGCCTGATATTCTGCCTTTAACCTGAACACAGCAGACAAACGGCCTGATATTCTGTCTTTAACCTGAACACAGGTTTAATAATTAATTTTTACACTGCAAAAAATGATATCTTAACCTGAGTAATCATCTTAAATTTAGTCTAAATATCTAATATTTCTCATTTTGAGATGGCTGCATGAATATTTTAAGACTGTATAACTTTTTTCTAAATGTTTTTTACTTGTTTAGAGAAAGTTTATTAAGTAAAATGATCTCACTGTATTGGCAGATAATTTTGCTGGTTTTATGCACATTTTTTTAAAACAAGAAAATTTTCTGGCAATATAGTGAGATCACTTTACTGAATAAAACTGTATGGCCCGTCCGGACAGGCCTAAAATCACAGAGAAACACTGGTTATAATTACATTACCCTCCTCAGTAACCTTTATTTGTTTAGAACAGCACTTATGTTGGAATGAATGGAAATAAAATGAATATAATAAATAGTTTATGTATGGCCACATCCCCTCGAGGAAGCCCAGTATTGTTTGTATTTATCATCCACTACCTGCTTTATCTAATCAATGCTTGCTTTAATGAAAGTGTGCTGCTGAATTCACCCAGCCAGATCAGAACCTTTTTACTGAGAGTGTTTGTGTACGTTGTTCCGTCCTGGAAGCTGTGGAAATGACCCCTCTGGTCTCTGTGTAGCTCCGTATGGGTTATTTCATAGGTTTGATGTCCTCACTGTTATTCGAAAGTGTGGACGAGGGTGAAAACTAAGGAAAGTCCTTCATGAATAGGTGTATCCAAATGTTCGACAGCAGGGAGGCAACAGATCTCTGCTTTGTTCTCCCAGAGAATTAGAGCCAGGATTTATCCACATGTTGGGAAAACATGGATTCTTTTCCTCCTCTGTTGAGGGAGATATGTGCACATGTTCTGTGTTTCACAGATGAATTGCTCAATCCTCCTTATTAACGTTTGATCTGTTTACCTCCTCTGGAGTCCACGGTCTGCGCTCTCTTCTCGGAAATTCCTAATTATCCGACTGACCCGGAGCTTCACTCGCTCTTGTCAGCACAATTCCACAGTCCTCTATGGGAGCCACATCTGATTGCTCACATGCAGGGCAATGTGGCTTCTACTGTTTCATTTAAAAAGCCTCTAGAATGATCCACACAGTCACTCTGACAGACTGTAATACACTACAGGAAGTGTAGGGGTCGATATGGCTTCTACTGTTTCATTTAAAAAGCTCTATAATGTTCATATGATCCACACAGTCACTCTGACAGACTGTAATACACTACAGGAAGTGTAGGGGGCGATATGGCTTCTACTGTTTCATTTAAAAAGCTCTATAATGTTCATATGATCCACACAGTCACTCTGACAGACTGTAATACACTACAGGAGGTGTAGGGGGCGATATGGCTTCTACTGTTTCATTTAAAAAGCCTCTATAATGTTCATATGATCCACACAGTCACTCTGACAGACTGTAATACACTACAGGAAGTGTAGGGGGCGATATGGCTTCTACTGTTTCATTTAAAAAGCTCTATAATGTTCATATGATCCACACAGTCACTCTGACAGACTGTAATACACTACAGGAAGTGTAGGGGGCGATATGGCTTCTACTGTTTCATTTAAAAAGCTCTATAATGTTCATATGATCCACACAGTCACTCTGACAGACTGTAATACACTACAGGAAGTGTAGGGGGCGATATGGCCTCTACTGTTTCATTTAAAAAGCTCTATAATGTTCATATGATCCACACAGTCACTCTGACAGACTGTAATACACTACAGGAAGTGTAGGGGGCGATATGGCTTCTACTGTTTCATTTAAAAAGTGC